AAAATTGCCATGAAACTTAACTTGGGAGCATTCTTTTTCGGTGAATTAGATTTGTGTACAGAAGAAATTACAGTTTTCGAATGTTTTAAACAGCTGTCGTTTTTTGCAACAAAATATTTCGAAATGTAATCAATTGATAATATCAGACCAATTTTTATGCTTCTGAGCACGCCTTGAGAAATGCTGAGCCGATTAGCTGAGAGAACGCTCTCAAAATATTGTAAGTTTCACTGAGTGTAATGTGAAATCTTGTTTTGAGAATTCTTCGGGAATAGTTTCAAAATAACGAGTGCGACATGAACATACAGCGATCAGTTCGAAGGGAACGGGTATGGAGATGCGTCGTCTCACGATTGGATTTATGTACCATTTACCAATATGTAAGAATGCAATGCATATAACTGAAGTCACCAAATCGGCAATATTCATTTTTGGTAATGATAATATCACATCGCGGAGAACCTGTAAATAGCAATCTTATACAACACCACACGCATTGCTGATGTCAAACCACCAAAGTTCTGCCGGTTAAGTTCGACGGAATTCAGATCCCAAGCAAAGAATTTTGATGAACGATCCCAATACTGAGTTTCGACAGTTCAAAAAATATATTCGGTTGGATTCTGACCAAAAATTCTGAAAATCGGTAGGAATATCGAAATTCGGAATCTTTAAAAGTCAGTTCGATCGGATTCTGGCTGAACTCAATTTTGTTCGGTCCCCAAAATTACAATCCGTAATTGCTCGCAATGCCCTTCACGTCGTTCCTGTTTATATCACATTTTGAAGACTCAATGCGATGACGTTGATTGTGTCATAACTGATCATATTTCTGTCCTACTCAATTTGTTCTATTCCTGTTGTTCCAAGATATAGATCAAAACAGTTTCAAAAAAGATATGCAGAACAAAAAAGAAAATGTGAAATGATGAACGGAACAGAATAGAACAGTTTGCCAATGAAATAGAAACATCAGCAGTCATAACAGAATTCGTTCGGTGAAATGATCATGTGATGAAATAGTGAACTAACATAGAACAGTTTGAATAATCCCTGATGCGATGGAATTTTCAAGCCGAATAGTTTCGGTAACTGTGAAGCTGCAACATGGAACGCAGCACCAGTCGTGAAACCAGCCACCAGCTCATCGGACATGTATGAGGCAACAAAGTGAAGTTGAAGTATTGCCATCACAGCCTGAAAGTATCGTTTGCAAGTGACGATGCGTTTGTTTCAACAGAGTTGGCTATGGTGATCTATATGTGTTTCGGAATGACAGCACTTCGCATTCAGATATATAATGGGGACATTAAGATTGCTAACTATATGTTTGAATTACTTTGATATTAATATAAGTTTTTTTCACTAAGGTTCAAGGATCGATTACGATCAGCAATTTTATGGGATGAAGTAAACCACTTTGGGCGGTAATTCTCTCGTTCTTCGATTTGTGTTCACATCCTTTTGTGTGACATTAAATAACTACCATCAATCCTCGCAATGCCTTGTTCTCATCATGA